TCCCCAACTGAGCCTCCCTCCACCCAGGTGTGTCAAGTTGATACTAAAGCTATCCAACAACTTGATTCTTTGTCCTGGTTCATTCCATTCCATCACTCCATCATTCCTTCATTCTATCTTTCACTTAAAAGACACTAACAGATCTATAACGATTTAATGATCCACTGGTTTGAAACCTGTAGCTTGATTTTGTATACACATAGATAATATATACAGCTCTAAATCACTGCTTCTCACACATTAGCATCACCCAAAGGACTTATAGAACTGAACATATTGCTGGGACCCAGTAGATAGTTGAGAGTGAATTTATACTTTTTGATGAAAGGATCCAGGGTTGAGCCCAGGGTCCTGCACACACTAAGCAAGTGTTATAACACAGAACTAAGCCCAGAGAATTTACAGTTCTAACAAGTTCCAGAATGCTGTTGCGGCTAGTTGGGGGGATACACCCTGAGGCCCTCTACCCTAGAGGATACTAGTGGTTGGGGCGGGGCGGGGAAGCACCACTTTTGTGTTTTCATACCCTGGTTTTACCCCAGCTTTACTTCCAAATTAATTTACTCTTTGCATTAGATATTAGATTCAGAGCTCATCTGTCTTAAGCTAAGTCTGGGTTCCCCAGCTTTTGGCTACCTTGATGTTTCTGTTTTCCTTGTCAGCCAAAATGTCTGGCATGTGTGCTCAAAGACTAGAGGGTAAAGAGGTTGCTGGATGGTATTGGTTCAGTGATAAATGTAATTAATCATCACAAAAATTCAAGGGAAAGCTACTTGCTGTCTTTTCAGGGATCTATCCTGAGTTAAATCTGGGATAATGTCAACCAAAAAGCCATGGGTGGCTATTTTCTCTCTATGACCATTTGGTCTTTTCCATTTCCAGAAAGTGGGATAATGTATAAAATTATCAATGAAAAACAAAGCAAAACAAGACCAAACCTTCTTGTTCTTCATTAAAACAAATCAAATATAAAGGTAAATAAAAAAGGGAGTACAGTTAAAAACACTGTCTAGTTGAGAAAGAAAATGACCCTTGCTGCAGATGGATGCTTACCTAGCATGTTTCAATCCCCAGTAGTGCAAAAGAAAAAGGAAAAGAAAATGACCCTTAATTGTAAATTGCCTAGCAGCTTAAGAGGAAATTGGCGAAATCAAACCTTAAGAAGTCTCAGAGCTGACATCTCTATGGCAAAAAGTTCAATAAAAAGTGGTGCTTGGCCATATATGCTTGGCATATAAAAGTGAGAGATGACCACCAGGACCAGGCTGGAGAGGTCAGAAGAGGCTGTCTGTGGACATGACAAATTGACCGTGTGGCCAGGGAAGGAAAAGGTAGGTGAAACCAGAAATGAAATGATATTGAGCCGGGCATGGTGGCGCACACCTTCAATCCCAGCACTCGGGAGTTAGAGGCAGGAGGATCTCTGTGAGTCCAAGGCCAGCCTGGTCTATGTAGCGAGTTCCTGGTCAGCTGGGGCTACAGGGAGACCCTGCCTCAAAAACAAAAAAACCCAAAACGATACTGGCTGGCCAAGAATGGGCACTGATACATGCAACTGAAATTTTCAGGAAAGGAACAACGGGTTGCTTCAAGTTAAGAGAAGGGCCCCGGCATCTTGACTTTTTATGACTGGTTCTGTTTATCTCTTGCTTCTGTCTCAGGTTTGAGCCGTTCCCTGTACCCTAGCAGGTGATGGCGATGGGAATTCCATTTACTTTTATGGAATGGATAACCTATAAGAATGGTATTTAATTTCCTTTTAGCCTCATTATGTTTAAACACACCAACTAACTTAGGTCCCTTCTTTATAAAAACCATGATTAAATTCTGGGCTTTACATGCGGTAAGCAAGATGGAGTGTGCTTTTTGGGGTGCAAAACTGCCCAAGGGAATCTTGATATGCAGCCTTTCACAACCACCCATCCTTAAAATGCCTTCAGCTCCTAGAGTGGCTTGTTTTTGGCTTCTTTTGTTTTTAAAGCCCCATCCCCCATCTCCTCCAGCGAGCCTTGGGATTCAAATGTAGATTAAATGCAGATTATTGGGAGAATCAGACAAATAGGGGCGGCTTTGGCTGTTGGAGGGGGAAAGAGGAGACCTCAAATTAGGCTTTCAGTCATTCTCCAGCTGTGGAAAATGGCTGCTGTGTGGCGTGGTATTCTGGTAGTGATAGCTGCCAGCTATCGGTGGCTTGGGTATTTTTGGAAAAGGAGTAAAATGGATTATGTGAATCTCTCCTACTGGCTCAGATCAGGTAAGCTGAGGCTTATTGCCACGTGTCTATTGTCTCTCATGTTGACCACTTCCATAACCTTTTAAGATTTCTAGTATGCCTACTGCACATATGACTGTACATTATGTATTGTAGTCTTCCTGATGTGTTGGGGGGGTTGATTTCACTTTCATTCCTGACCCATAAAATATTTTCACACCCACACACGTGGTCATGGTAACTCCTGAGAAACTTAACTGTTTCATAAAGATGGTATAAATTCAAAGCCTCTGAATGATCTTGGGTATATTTACTTCTGTTATAAGCACGGATAAAATGGCTGTATTAGAAAGGGAAGGAGGAAACAATTTGTTTGAAAGTAAGGCACATTCAACCCAGTGGATGTTTTAAATGGAAGCAAGGAGGGCTTTTAAAAGAGGGGCAAACGGACAACTGAAAATGTGGTCAGATTATCTGGCACTAGTTGAGTACCTTAGTCTAGGTCTTCTCTTCTTGGAGGAAGCCAACTCATTGTTGGAGGAGAGGTGCATGGTACTGACTACAAGTGGCTTGCCTTCGCTGTTTAAAGTCTACCAGTGGTTACACCTTCAGACGTGGAGGACTAATTATTATAAGTCAGAATTTAGATCCTCCATGTGAGTTATCCTAAGGTTCTTTCCCTGTCTTTTTCCACAAGAGGAAGAATTAACTTTTCTATGTAGTAGCCCAGCATCTGAATATGGCTGCCTGCCCTATCTCCGTCTCCTACTCCTCTGGTCGGCTCCCCTCCCCTTGGCTAGGGTTTGGAGGCTCTTTAGATAATCACGTGTTGGAGCACCTGCATTAACATCGTTAATAAGTTCTGTTCAGAAAGTAGCAGTAACTAGAGTGATGGTGGTGGGAAAAGTAGTGCGTGTACTTTGTTCCTCTATTGTACACAGGTGTGTGCGCGAGATGTATCTGCTCGTTTTTTTTAGAGGATCCTTCATGTAGTTCAATTTGCCTGTATTGTTCAAGCACGTGGGAGCTGGAGTATTAGTATGTTATCGACTTAGAGAAGTCTCAGGTGTGGAAAGTCCTAGCTCTTGCCTTCGAGGATCCTACAATTTATGTGTAGTTCACCTAGAGGTGATCCTCCGTTGTAGCAGACAATGGAACTGCTAAGTGAAAGAAAAGAGGCCTGTTTGGAGGCGGGATTGCCTTGGCTATGTCACCGGGAAAGGCGGAGCTTGAGGCACCTCGAGTGGTGGCTGAGGACCCTTTGATTTGATTCTGGGAATCTGATTGTGGGAATTGGATGGGCGGGTAACCGGCTTTCTTCCGCTGCTGAAATTCCACATCATTGAATAACGACACTTAATAGGTAGAGGATGGTGTCTGGGCACACTAAAAGATATTGATGAGCGCTGCAATGGAGCGCGCGAGTGCTTCAGGAGCCCTGGAAAGGAGTAAGTCCAGAAGGCCAAAGCTTTCGAGGTACTTGGTGCTCAGAGTTTAAGGTCCAAGGAGGCATGGCAGGTTTACGAATCTGTAAAGGCACCACGGGAAGACCCCGAGGATTTGACTCCTAGGCGCTCAAAGAGCCGCACGGTGACTTTTCCAGGGTAAGGGGGAGGGCAGGAAACTCCGTGTGGTCTGTGACTGTTAAGATGCTGTTGGGTTTTGAGAAGAAAACTGGTGGGAGAAGCTCGATGCTCAGAGGAATGGGGTGACACCGGAGAGGAAGCTTAGGAGAAGCTGGAAGTGATGCTGGCGTCTAGATGTAGGGCTTAGGGGACAGGGTGAAAGAATGTCTTCAGTGCCCCGAGGGGAAGTTCCACGCTGTTCCCGGGAGGGTTCCGCGTTGCTGGCAATCTGGGGAAGCCTGGGCCAGTAGCCTCCTCCCCATCGGTGAAGGAAACGTCCAGTTCCCCGGCAAGTGAGCCGTCCTGGCCGACCAACTCTGTCCATCTCACCTACAACGCGAGTAAGGGCCAGCCCATTGCGGCTGACCTAGAGGGCAAGTTGTCGACTCGGTTCTCCCGGAGAGGCGTCATCACTAACAGCTTCGTTCATCAGGACGCAAACCTCCCGAGTCCACAATACTAGCCTTCCTCCCCGCTCCGCGTCGGAGATGGGCACTCCTAGAGGACCCCTAAGGCCTGGCGTGGGAAAGCTGCGGCCAGAGTCCGGGAACCGCACCCAGCTCCGACCCCAACATGTGGCCGATCTCTCGACACGCGGCTGGGCGCGCGATCCCCGCTCCGGGTCTTGGCTGCGGCCGCGGGGGCGGCAGGCACGTGGCAGGGCGGGAACCTCCACCTGGCCACGCCGCTGACTCCAGCCGGCTGTGCTTTCCCGGCCGGCGCCCTCCGCGCTGTCCCGGGGAGAGGCGCGAGGCAGCGCCGTCGGGGCGGCTCCAGACGTGGGTCCCCTGCCTAACTTAAGCCCGGGAACCGGCCCCAGGGCACCGCCGCCCTCGTCCCGCCCTCCACCGGGCAGCCGGCACCCGAGACTAAGCAGGCCGGTGGGCGGTGCCCCGGCCGGCCGGCCGACCCCTGGAAGCCGGACTTGCAGAACTCGGAGCCCCGCCCACCACAGTGGCTCCGCCCACGAGGCCCCGCCCCCAAACAGGCCCCTCCCCTTCCTGCCGGCTCGCTCTCGACCATCCACTGCCCGCGCCCAGGCCCGGAACGGAGCCGGAGCTCCCCTCAGCCGCCCCGCCCCGCCGCCTCCCGCCCCTCCCGCGAGGGCGGCCCGAAAACCCGGAGCGCGGGAGCGCGGCTCCGCCGGGCAGGGCGGCCGCACTGGGCATGCTCAGTAGCCGGGGCAGGTTTTTTGGTCGCAAGTAGGAAGCTTCTTGCACTACACCGGAGAGGGGGAGCCGCGGATCCCGCCGTGCCGCCCGCACCGCCGCCGCGCCCGGTCCAGCCTGCCCGGCCCCCGGCGGGCGCAATGAGCCCGCGTCCTAGTAGCCGCCGGTCCGCCAGGCACTGAGCGCGAGCGCCCTGGGCGCGTTGCGCAGCTGCTCCTGCGCACAACCCCGCCGCCGCCGGCCCGCACCGGCCGCCCAGTGCGAGAGGCTGGTCCGTGCACAGCGCTCGGCGCCGGGAGCAGAGCAGGAAGCGCAGGCCACGCAGGGACCCAAGTGGAACAAAGTGTCCGCAGCCGGGCGCCGCGCCCCGACCCCGCCGCGCCCGCGCCCCTCCACCGCCCACCATGGCTTCCGAGGAGCTGTACGAGGTACTCCCCTCCCCCCGGCGGCGCCCCCCGCCCGCCGCCGCCCCTCC